AAATGTGTTTCTGGGGGCACCTAAGACTTAGGAAAAAGGGTGGGTTGAGATGGTGGTGCAAGTTCTAAAGAGAATGCACAGCAGGATGTTCCATCAGGATCTGCTTAGTTAGACCCCTGGGAATGGGATCACAGCTTGTGGAGAGGCTACACCAGTAGGTCTGCAACACAGCTGGAGTGAGGGATTTGATTTGAAAGTCTGAAGGGAGAGGTGAAAATCTGCAGTTAGCCTTCTTGTTTCCCTTGTCTGCATGGCATGTGGATTCTCAGGGAGTACCTGCTAGAGTTGGGGGTTGGAATAAAGCAATGTGTTGAGGGAAGGGAAGGGAAGATCTGTAGGATCCACTGTAGATGGGGCAGGGTTGCCCCAGGTTTTCTGTTACAGAACTGATGGATGAGACTGGTAGATTGTATTTGGAAGAGCAGAAGCGGAGGTGAAGTTCTGTAATTAGCCTACCTGCTTCCCTTCCTGTAGTGGCCTGTATGTTTGCATGAGATTTTTCTGCCTTGACCCAATTTTTGTTCTGTAGTGAGTTAGTCAGTTTCCATGAATTAGTATACTTTCTTCTTTTCCTATTGCTGTTCATATCCTGTTTTAATCCACTGTGATCAAATATTATACGAGGAGTTATTTCAGTTATATCTGTTGAGACTTGCTCTGTATCCTAATATGTGTTCAGTTTTGAATAAAGTTTCATGTTCTGCTGAGAAGAAATTCTATTCTTTATAAAGTTTGTCTAATGTTCTCTAGATGTCTGTTATCGTCATTGGATTTATGTATTATACAACACCTGTGGGTTGGGTTTTTTTTAATTAAATTTTTGTATGGATAACTTGTCTTATGGTAAGAGGTTGATATTGAAATAACCCACTATCACTCTGTTAGGTTCAATATGTGATGTTAGCTGCAATAGTATTTTTTTTGTTTTGTTTCATTCGATTTTTGGCTTATTTGGTTTATGAACTTGGGTGCTCTTGTGTGTGCCTCATTAATTTTTAGAATTATAATATCCTCTTGGTAGATACTTCTTTAATAATTGTATAGTACCTTTTCCAATCCCCTAGAGGTTGTAGAATATCAGTCTATGGCCTTCTGGCTTCCAGAGTTTCTAGTGAAAAGTCAAGTACTATTTTAATAGCCTTTGTATATAACTTGGTGTTTTGTTTTGTTTTGTTTCTTAAACAGCTTTTAGTATCCTTTCTTTGTGCTGTATATTTAGTATTTTGATTATTATATGTCATGGGAAATTTTTTTTCCTTGTTCTGTGTGTGTGTGTCTGTGTGTGTGTGTGTGTGTGTTCTATGTGCTTCTTGTAACTTATACACATGTCTTTCAGTTGACTCAGGAACTTATATGGTTTTGTTGAAAATATTTTCTTTGCCTTTGACCTGGCTTCTTCTTCCTTTATTCCTATTATTTGTAGATTTGTTCTTTTCATGGTGTTTGAAATTTCCTGGACATTTTGACATGCAGAATTTTTCATTTCCAATTTTATTTCAATTTTATTTTCCTTGAGTGATTCTATTTCTTTGTTAAATTCTGCTTTCATATCCTGAAGTGTTTACATTTTTCATTCAACTGTTTGTATTTTGATGGTCTTTGTTAAGGAATTTTATGCATATCCCCTTTAAGGTTCTTGAATGTATTCGTAATTGTTGTTTTGAAATCTTTGCCTTTTGCTTCAGCTAAATTTCTTAAGACCTGTTGCAATAGAGTTGCTGGTTTCTGGAGAAGGCATATTATCTTGGCTGTTCATGTTTGTGTTTTCGTGTTGTGTTCTAAGAAGCTTGCGTCATGATGTTTGAAGTATTTCTTGGCTTAGGTATCTAGTCTTGTCAGTGCTGGGTGAGTGATCTATCTGTTCATTTGTCACTGTTGTCCACTTTGAGCCAAGTATGGTGACTATGGGGTTCCTGATACAGAATGTTTATGGTGGTCAGTAGATATCACAAAAGTATAGCTATACAGACTAGGAGGAAAGCCTGAAAGGGGTGGCCAGGAAGAATTAGGGCCATCTTGGGTCTACACCAAGAGGCAAAGTTCTTAGGGGATGGAAGTGAGCTGTGAAGAGGGGGCTCCTGTGGGGAGGCTGCAGGAGGACTAAGAGTAAGTCTGGAGAGACCACAGTGGAGGACAGAAGAATAATAAATGTCATCTACCTGAGTTACAGCCTAGTATAGTCACTGATCCCTGGGAGTGAGTAGTTCTGCAGGTCAGCAGGTGACAAAGGATTGTAGATGGCCTATAAGGAAACTGTGAAAGGGGCACTAGGAAAAAAACAGCATAATTCTTATTTCTCAGTAGGAAAAGTGTTTTTCATTTACACTATCTTTCCTTACTGCTTTCAAGGTTTTATTTTTGTGCTGAATGTCTGTAACTTTGTGTTTCCATGTGGTTCTTTACCCTCATGCATGTGTACACACGCATACACGTACACACACAGAGCTTAGAGTTCTCTATGCTTCTTAGTTTGGTGTCAGTCACTAGTTTTGGAAACTTTAGACCATCATGCCTTCCAAGTATTTCTTCTGTGTCGTCTTTTGCCCTATGTATAGTCTAAGTACATTATTGTGCTCCTTATTATGATCCCATAGTTTTGTATTTTTCTTTTATTTTTAATATTGTAATTACATACTTTCTTCCATTTCCTCCTCCTGAATCCTCACATATACCCCTCCCACTTTCCTTCAAATTCATGGCTCTATTTTTTCATTGAATACATATGTATTCCTCAGTACAACCTCAGTTTGTATAATTTTACTCATGTATGTTTTCAGGGCTGACTATTTGTTACTGGATTACCACTTGATGTACTCTTCCTTTAGGAAGACTATATTGCTCTTGCTCTCAGCATCCCTTAGTTGCCTGTATATAGTTCTTTGTGTAGGACTGAGGCCTCATAGTCTTTCCCCATTTTACTTTGGTGTATTTATTGTTGTCATCATTTTTCAGTTCATACTTATTCAGTTATGTTGATAAGACTTCATGGGTGTACCTCCTGACATTACTATAGGACACAATCTTACTGCAAATTCCCTGATCCTCTGGCTCATCCCAGATCTTTCTGCCCCATCTTCTGCAATGTTTCCTGAGCCTTAGGTAAGGGAATTATTTTGTAGATATATTCATTTGGGGCTGAGCTCCATGAGTATGCATTTTGATTGGTTGTGGTTTTCTGTAATGGTCTCTGTATGTTGCAAAAAGAAGTTTCCTTTGTGAAGGAAGAAGACTTTACTTCTCTGCGGGTATAAGGACAGATATTCAGATTGTTGTTAGAGATTAAGCTGTTTTAGTAAAGTAGTGGTAGATAGCGGTCCTGTCCTGTGGGATTACTTTTCAAACAAAGCATTTAGCACAATAGTGATAGCTAGTTTAAATCTTTAGTCTGATAATTCCAGGGTCAGTACCATAACTAAGTCTGTTTCTGTTGGTTTGTCTCTCTCTCCCTCCAGCCTTTTTGTTTGATCTTAATTGTTCCCTCTTTTGAAGCTTCCTGGAGATAGTCTATCCCACACCTTCTCTCTGTGTTTTGGGGGGTTGTTGTTTGTTTTGGGGGTTTGGTTTTGTTTTGTTTTGGGTTTTTGTTTGTTTGTTTTGTTTTTTGTTTTTTTTTGTTTTTTTTTTTTTGCTTTTTTAAGACAGGATTTCTCTTTGTAGCCCTGACTGTCCTAGAACTCACTTTGTAGACGAGACTGGCCTTGAACTCACAGAGATCCCCTGCCTCAGCCTCTCTTGAGTGTTGGGATTAAAGGTGTCCACTACCAACAATACCAACTTTCTTGTATCTCTTAAAGATGCATTTCACTCGTATTTTATTTTTATTTTTTAGATTTCTTTTAAAAATTTTTTTGTGTATGAGTATTTTGCTGCATGTGTATGTGCTTGTGGAGGTCAGCAGAGGGCATCAGATTCTGTGGAACTGGTATGACTGGTGGTTTTCAGCTGTCACATGTTGCTGGGAACTGAACCTGGTTCTTCTGCAAGAGCAGCAAGCACTCTATTAAACCATACCATCTCTCCAGCCCCTTTCCCTACTATTTTCAACGAAACCCTTAACCTTGGTGAAGAATGGAGAAGACATTCTACGTTAGCCAGTCTCAGTCTTAGGCAGGCTTACCTTGAGCAATGGAGGTGTGACCATCACAAATGCTCTTAGCCTTCAAGTGTAATGAGTAGGCCTAGTACAGTTTCATGTCCCTGCTGAGTAGATACATTTTCTGTATTTCTTCCCACTTTGGAGAATTTTCATCAGCACCATGAACTTCTGTTTCCCTTCCTTCTGCAGATTAAAATGTTTTTCCCTCCCAGATAAGAAAAGGTAAATTGGTCTGGCCTGAGTTCTAGGAGAGATAGGGTAGCTTCATCAGGATTGGCTGCCAGGTGCAGTAAGTTACTACCAGTGCGTTCAAGTACAGTTTATTTATTGCCTTTTCTGTGGAAGAGTGAAGCTTTCCCCACAGGAACATAAAGAAGCTTTGTGCCGAATTTGAGCAATGATTATTGTTATGTTCTCCCTCCAACCCAGAGGGAGAACTATCAAGAGAACTCCAAGCCAGAACTATCCAGTACTTTTCTCAGAGCTTTTCTCAATCTTCTCTGCCAGCACTGGAGGGAAATTGAGAAAAATATGTAAAGGTAGCTAAGGATGCAGTCCTTATGAGCTTCACATTGGCCCAAAACCAGCTTTAGCAATTCATTAGTCATTTTTTATTTGGACCTTCTTATGACAGTAGGTTGTTCAGCATTGTCCGCAACAACTAAGAAATGCCTGGGTCCTACTGCCCTCTGCAGATGCATGTTTTTACAAGTTTAAATTAGCTACCTGCCCTTCAACCTCAGTTTTCTGATGAGTTGAAGAAAAGTTGTGATGCCTGTTTTGAATCTTTTCCCTCCCCGATATGATGGGAAGCAGTGTGGTGTCTAGTGCTACATCGCTAAGGTAATGGCTGGAGAGCCTCCATGTGTGGAGATAAGCTTTTGAGGATCTGTTTCTCTTCCAGCAACCTTACCACAGTTCACCAATTCCCCCACAATGGTGATCATGGTGGGATTACCAGCTCGAGGCAAGACCTACATTTCCACGAAGCTCACACGGTATCTCAACTGGATAGGAACACCAACTAAAGGTATGTCTCAGAAATCATTTGCTATAGACATCCCACTACAGGCCACTAACTGTAAACTGAAGAAGGCCAAATATTTCTGTACTGAAAATGCTGCACACATTGTTTTTAAGATTAGAACCACTTCTACCTAACTATTCCTACCACTGTTACTATGGTCTTAGAAATTATATCATTTCGTGAAATATATTCTGTGACAAATACTATGCTGGGTTTTAGGTGTAGAAAAAACCATTATAAAGACTAAATCTGCTCTTAAGACTCACAAATGCAAAGCAACTCACTGAGTACTTCAAGTATTTTTTAGTAACAACTACATTGTCTAAGCAATAACACTGTTTTATCCTAATTGTCACAATTTCTTATTTTATTTTATTTTTTAATTTTATTTTTTTCTTATCAGTTACATTTTATTAACTCTGTATCTCAGCTGTATCCCGCTCCCTCATTCCCTCCCAACCCCACCCTCCCTCCCTCATCTCCTCCCGGCCCCTTTCCAAGTCCACTGATGGGGTGGGGCTCCTCTCCATTCATCTCATCCTGTTTTATCAGGTATTTTCAGGACTGGCTACAAAGACCTCCTCTGTGGCCTAAAAGGACTGCTCCTCCCTTGGGGGTGGGGAGGCCAAAGAGCCAGCCATTGAGTTCCTGTTAGAAATAGTCCTTGTTCCCCTTACTATGGGAAACTAATTGGTTACTGAGCTACCACGGGCTACATCCGAGCAGAGGTTGTAGGTTATATCCATACATGGTCCTTGGTTGAATGTCAGTCTCAGAAAAGACCCTTTGCCAAGATATATTTCGTCCTTGTGGAGCTCCTATCCTTTCCCCATCATACTAACTCCCCTTCTTTCATATGATTCCCTGTACACTGCCGAAGGTTTGGTTGTGAGTCTTTGTATCTGCTTTGAAACACTGCTAGTTAGAGTCTTTCAGATGCTTTCAGTAGACTCCTGTCATCCGTTCAATGCACATCCCATCTGTCTTTCTAAACGAGGATTGATCATCTTCGCCCATGTCCACTCTCTTGATTATCATTTTTAGGTGTATAGATTTCATTATGTTTATCATATCTTATAGGTCTATATAAGTGAGTATATACCGTGTTTATCTTTCTCCTTCTGGGATATTTCACTCAGAATGATCTTTTCTATTTTATTAGATATTAGGATGGCTACTCCAGCTTGTTTTCTGGAACCATTTGCTTGAAAAACTTTTTTCCAGCCGTTTACTCTGAGGTAGTGTTTATCTTTGTTGCATAAGTGTGTTTCTTGGATGCAACAGAATGTTGGATCCTGTTTCTGCAACCATTCTGTTAGTCTGTGTCTTTTTATTGGGGAGTTGAGTCCGTTGATGTTGATAGATACTAGTGACCAACAGTTGTTACGTATTTTTGATGTGGGCTTTGTGGTGTCACTGAGTTTCATTGCTTGTCTTCTTTTGGGTTTTTTTGTTGTGTAGTTATCTATTTCCTCTGTTTCCTTAGATGTAGTTGTTTTCTTTGGGTTGGAGTTTCCCTTCTAGTAACTTCTGTAGAGCTGGGTTACCATGTAGATATTGTTTAAATTTGGTTTTGTCATGGAATATTTTGAATTCTCCATCTATGTTGATTGAAAGTTTTGCTGGGTATAGTAGTCTGGGTTGGAATCTGTGGTCCCTTAAGGACTGTATGATTTCTGTCCAGGCCCTTCTGGCTTTCATAGTTTCTGTTGAGAAATCTGGTGTGATTCTGATAGGTCTACCTTCATATGTTACTTGGCCTTTTTCCCTTGCTGCTTTTAAAATTTTTTCTTTGTTCTGTAGGTTCAGTGTTTTGACTATGATGTGACGTGAAGAATTTCTTTTCTGGTCTAGTCTACTTGGTGTTCTGTAGGCCTCTTGTATGTTTATGGACATCTCCTTCTTTAAGTTGGGAAATTTTTCTTCTATAATTTTCTGGAAAATATTTTCCGGCCCTTTGAGCCTAATGTCTTCTTTTCTTCTACTCCTATTATTCTTAGGTTTTGTCTTTTCATGGTGTCCTTGATTTCTTGGATGTTTTGTGTTTGGAACTTTTCTGATTTTATTTTTTCTTTGAGAGACGTGTCAATTTCCACAAGTGTATCTTCGGCTCCTGAGATTCTTTCTTCCATCTCTTGTATTCTGTTGGTGATGCTTACCTTTGTAGTTCCTGATTTTTTCTCTATGTTCTCCAGCTCCAGGTTTTTTTCTATTTGTGTTTTCTTTATTGATTCTAATTCTGTTTTCATGTCTTGTACCATTTCCTTCATCTGTTTGAATGTGGAGTCCTGCTTTTCAATGACAGCTTCTATTGTTTTGTCCGTTTCCTCTCTATGTATCACTAATTATGCCTCTACTTCTTTGGCTATAATTGCCTGTATTTCTATGAGAGCTTTGTTTATTTCTTTTTATTTGCCTTCATTTGTGTGGACATTTCTTTGAGAGCTTTGTTCATTTCTTCTTTGTTTGCCTCAATTTTCATGGTCATTTCTCTGAGAGTTCTATTTGTTTCCTCTTTGTTCGTCTCGATTTCTTTGGCTATTTCTCTGAGGGCTTTGTTCATTTCATCTTTATGGGCCTCTAATAGGTGGAGAAACATAGTTTTGAGGTCGTTTTCTTGTATATCTAGTGAATTGAAGTGTCCATTGTTTTGTGGGGTTGCTGGTGAGGTCATTATGTCCTGATTTTTGTTGGGTGTATTCTTATGTCTGCCTCTAGCCATCTGGTTATTTATGACCCTCACTGTTTGTTTCTCGAGTTTGTAGTCCACGCTATGATTGTCTCTTTCTGTTTTCTGGACTGTTTTTTTCAGGAAGATGAGAGAGGTTCACTGGTTTGGGAGTGTGCGTTGTGGTTTCAGTTTTGCCTAAGTAAGGAATGTGATGCCGGCGCTATTAGCATGCGCTTTTAGCGGGCGCAGTGTGCATGCACGGATTCTCTGACTATTGCGGTGGCCTGCAGGCCACTATTTTGCAGTTCTGTCTGAGACCCAGGGATTGTTTGCCTGGATTACACTGGTGGACCCACAAGGCAGAGGCTTCAATGTTGGGGTCGCTATCCCAAGAATCCCTATGATGCCCACACTAGGGGTGTGGGTGGCAGAGATCTCGTCTGGTTGCTTCTGTGGAGAGGCCCTGGGTCTGGGGCATACTCTCCCTAGAAGGCTCACTCACTCTCTTGCAGGACCATTTGGAATGCACAGGGGTTCCCCTTGCTCTCTACTCTCTGATTTGGTCCTGCTGTGGAAAATGCGCAGGTAGCCTAACAGTCATCTCTGTGGCACTGTGTCCACCTATCCTGTGTGCTGCCTCTCTGTCCTTTCCCTCTGCCAGGAGGGGTTATGTTGACTGGTCCCAGGGTAGCACAGGAAAGAGTTAGGTTGAGTGTTCTCAATCCCAGATCCTGGGCCCAGATCTCTCTGCCAGAAGCAGCCTGATTCTGAGAGAGTACCAGGTATGGTTGAGTGTGCTCAGATCCAGAGCTTGGGTTTCTCTGCCAGGGGCCGCTGGGTGAGCTGGAGAAGGGGTGCTGTGTCCTGTGGCAGGCTGCCTTTCTGTCCTTCCCCTCTGACCTTTCCCTCTGCTAGGGCAAGCTTATGGCGGTACTCTCAGGGTGTGCCAGAAGGGGTTGGGACTTTTCAGTCCCCATCCTGAGCTGGGGTTTCTCTGCCAGGGGCCGGGGGGCCACCGGTGTTAGGACTTGGTGCTAGACCTTATTGCGCTGGACCCAGGAGAGTCTCAGGACATGTTGAATGACCACAGTCCCAGATCCCGAGTTGAAGTTTGTTTGCTGGGAGCAGCCGGCAGCACTGGAGCACTGGGGTCCAGGCGCTGTGAAGCCACTGTGTGCCTCTCTATCCCTCCGCTCCACTGGGGCAGGGTTATGGTGGCGTTCTGGTTCTCGGGGGAGTGCCCGAAAGGATCAGGTTTTCTCAGCCCCGATCTCGGGTTTTGTTTTGTTTTGTTTTTTGGTGAGAGCTATAGCTCTAGCTGGGGCTGGAGTACAGACAGTGTGGTCTGTGGCAGATTCTGCTGATGCCTCCTGCCTCCTCCGCAGAGGTAGTAGGGTTTTTGGTGCCGGGAAGTGCCTGGGGATTACCTCTCAGGGTGTCTCCTCCTGGAGGAGTCTGCCATGACCTGATTCTAGATGGACTCAGATCATGGTTAGTCTCTTTCTTCTTGGAAGTCTAGATAACTCTGTTCTGGGTTGATCAGCCCCTTCACTCACCAATTTCCACGTTGCGGTTCCTCTCCCCTTCAGCTAAGCTGCACACTAGCCGCCGCCATCTTGGAAGTCCTCAATTTTCACCATTTCATAGTTAAAAAAAAAAATCAAAGAAATTAAATACCTTTTCTTAAAGAACTCAGTTATAAGTGACAGAACAAGAATATGATTGATTTCAAATGTAACATGCACTGCTCGTTCTAATGCATGACTACATTGAAGAGAAGAAAAAGGGATCCTGTACTTTCTCTCCTTTGAGCCATTATTTTTTTTCTCTTCCTTTCTCCTGTTCATCCCAACACTGTATCTACTCCCTTCCTTCCAACCATCCTTCCCATATTTTCATCAAGCCTTCTCTATGATTCTCTTCTTTTTTGTGTGTACTAGGCTTTGAGCCCAGTGCTTTGTTTATAATAAGCATACACTTTTCCACTGAGTTACACCTGGCATCAAATCTACCCACTGTCAAATTTATCCTTCCTTGCCCTTCACCCACTTTCTCTAATAATCCACTAGAGTTTTCTACGTGCCAAAACCCATGTCAAACATTAGGAAAGAAATAAAAATAAATGAAACTCATATACTACCCTTGAAGAGTTCTAACTCTGAATGGCATATACAACAAGACATAGGCTGGACTGAAAGGCATCAAAAGCATCATGGATAAGAATGTGTCTGAAATGGGTCCTGTGGGAAGAGGGAGACATTTGACTAAGCAAAGACCAGAAGGAGCCAGTCTCATACAGAATTGCAAGCCTGAGGAGACTCTACTGAATGAAGAAGCATATGACATAGTGGCAGATGGGTCTCTGTCCTGATCCCACTTTTATTCTGCCTATTCAACTTAACTACTCACATAGATCTTCAGAATCGTATTTCAAAGTATAAGACTGGTAATACTTGTAGTCTCCAAGTGTACCCTTGGTCTACAGATTTGAACCCAAGCACCATTACTTCTGTTTAAGAACATCCACAGTTGATGTATTCCATCTTTTTAGGACCAGCCATTGGCAGTTGACCCCTTCCCCCAAAACACATTTGCTTCCAGCATATGTTCTACCTTTGCTCAAGTACTGTCTAGCTACTTGCAGTCTATCTACACTGTCCTTTCTCCCCACCTTCACATACATATCCACCAGTAAAAGACACCTAACCTAAAATGCTTGTTCAAATTCTGCTTTTGCTAAGATACTCTTAGCTAACCCAAAATGGATCCTTTATTTCCTACTCCCTCACTCTTAAGCATTGTTTGATATTGATATTGCTCTCTATTGGAAAACCTAAAGGACTCTCTGGGAGCACTCCTATTGCCTGATTTGGTTGCTGTGTGACTTTGCAGTTTATGAGCTGTTTGAGGCCCCATAACAAATCCAGAACTTATACCTCACTTTACAAAGTAGTAGGTATCTGTCTGTCTTAGTATTCTATTGCTGTGAAGAGGCAAAATGACCACAGCAACTATTCTAAGAAAGCATTAAATTGGGTGCTTGCTTATATTTTCAGAGGTCTAGTCCATTACCATCATGTTAGCAAGCCAGACATGGCATGCAGTCAGACATGGCACTAGAAAAGTACCTGATAGTTAAGCATTTTGATCCACAGGCAGAGAGATAAAGACAGACACTGGGCCTGGCCTCAGTTTTGAAATCTCAAAGCCCACTCTCACTTCCTGCAACAAACCACACTTCCTAATCCTTTTCAGGCAGTGCCTTGTGTCACTCTCTGATGACTAAGCATTCAAATGTATGAGCCTGTGGGGGGCTATTCTTATTCATACCACCACATTGTATTTTCTCATCTCCATAGCCTTGTAGCCATATAATAATGCAAAAAATATGCATTCAGTCCAACCTCAAAAGTCCCCAGTCTATCCCAGTCTCAACATTGTTTAAGAGTCTAAAGTTCAAGGTCGTTTCTGAGACTCATAGTAAACTCTTAACTATATCCCCCTATAAAAAATTTAAAAGATACAGATCACATACTTTCAATATACAATGGCACAGAATACATATTATGATTACAAAAGAGAGGAGCAGGAAATACTGAGGAAATAATGGACCAAAACCGAGCAGAGCAAGCTTCAAATTTTGCATCAACTTGTCTGATGTCAAAGTGTTCTTCAAATTTCCAACTCCTGTTGACTACATCCTTTTCTTTCTTGGGCTGGTTCCATACCTAGTCTGAAGTTCTCCTTGGCAGGTATCCTACAACTCTGGCATCTCCAATATCTTGGGGTTCTGTAACACAATCCAGCTTTTACTTAGTAGCTTTATGCAATGGCCTGTCTGGGCTTCCATTCAGGGGCTCCCCTGATACAGGCCTGTCCTTAGCTGCTTTCCTTAGCCACAGAGGGAGAATCAATATCCCCTTTCTTGTATCCTTACCTCTAAAGTCAAAACCACATGGCCAAAGCTGCCAAGTTCTTCTTCCTGGGGCTGGAACTTGGTCTCTACTTTCAATTATATTTTCATCAGCTTTCTGTTTTTGATAGTTTCCTTCACTGTTTAAGCTTTTCTTTAATTCCTTTTCATAAGTTAGAAGTTTAACTGGGTGTGATCTTTCTCAGAGATCATCACTCCCTTTATTCCATTTAGCACCAGGTTTTTCTATAAACATTTTATCTCCCTGAGCACAACACTTAGCTTTATTATACCTCCTGGTGGCTCCTTTCTCCTCAAACTGTACATTTGTGTTTTTGCTTGCTCAGCATGTTCCTTTTCATTATAGATCTTCATTAGAGTGATTAAAATGTCTGACAGAGTTAGGACTAGGCTGCCTTAAAATCCCCTCCGTCAGTGCCATTAATCTAAAACTTTTCAGTTTAGGCACGAGCAGATTTTTAGGAAAAGGGCAAAAAGCAGCCACATTTGTTTGCCAAAACATCACAAGAATGGTCTCTAGGACACTTACTAATTATCTTCTCCTCTGAAACTTGAGCTGGGACCTTATAATTCAAACCAACTTTAGAACTTTAGCACTTTCTTCTATGTTCTTCTTACTAGGATGACCCATTAAGCCTCACTTAAGCATCCAACCACTTTTCTAGTTCCAAGTCCCCAAGTCATCCATATTCCACCAGAGAACAGCATGGTCAGGACTGTCAAAGCAATACCCAGCTCACTAGTACCAACTTTTTCTTTGTTACTGTTCTTTTGCTGTGGAGAGACACTGTGACCAAGGTAACTCTTATAAAACAAAGCATTTAACTAGGGTCTTGATTAAAGTTTCAGAGGTCTAGTCCATTATCATCATGGCAGGGAGCATGGCAGCATGCAGGTAGATATGGCACTAGAGAAGTAACTGAGAGTTCTTGATCCAGATCCACTGGCAACTGGAAGAGAAAGTGACTGTGGGCTTGCCATGGGCTACTGAAACTCCAAAACTGACTCCTAGTAAGATGCTTCCTATAATAGGGCCATGCCTCCTACCCCTTCTCAAATAGCACCACTCCCTGATGACTAAGCCTTCAAACATATGAGCCTGTGGGAGCCATTTTTATTCAAACTACCACATTACCCTGAAGTTATTTGCTGGGCAAATGAATTAATAAAATGTGGTTTCTTTGGCTGATTATCCTCTTTCTCCCTTTTTTTCTCTGTTTTCCCCCATTATAAATGGGAAAGTGCTGTTTAAAAATTTGCATTTAGATTTTCCCTTATGATAAAAAAAATGGTAAAAGATGACCTTGGTAACTAGGAGTCCAGTTTGTATATATTTTTAATTCACTCTTGGTTTGACTTTGGGTAACTGATTTTACTCTTTGTATCTTATTTCTTTATCTTCCCTATTGAATATTACCTTAAGAGGTTAAATTTATGATAAAGTAAAATGGCTTGAAATCAAAAAGACGTGGGTTTGAATTCCAGATTACCAGTTATTAACTGTGAAAGCTATTTTACACCTCTGAGCTTTACTTTCCTCATTTGTAAAGGTGATGTGGTTAACTCTACTTTACAGGACTAATATAATATGAAAGAGGAAATGAGTTGTTACCCGTAATTTGAAGTCTTATCTGTATATTTTCTGGCTATAAATTATGCCTTTTTACCTCTGAGGTTCCTTCCAGCAAGAACAGAGTTTTGGCCATGGCAGTCTTCCCTACCTCTTCACTAGGGTTTCCTGTTTTCAGTGTTTAATTTAGGCCAGTATCGACGAGAGGCAGTGAGCTACAGGAACTATGAATTCTTTCTCCCAGACAACACCGAAGCCCAACTTATCAGGAAGTAAGTACCCAACATTTAAAATCCTGTGCTGCATTTAGCTGAGGAGGACCTTTCTTTATGTCCTAGGGGAGTAGTATAGAATTAACCTTGCTGTTCCATTGTATCCAAACTTTTTACATTACCACAGAGTGTGCTCAGTTACAGTGTTCATGCTCGAGAACCCCTCACTCAAGTTACGAATAGAAAAAAATACAGAAAGTCTCATAGTGTTTTAGTTAAGTTTATGATTTGCATTGGATCACAGTTCATAGTTATCCTAGGCCATGAGTTGAATACTCCTGTGTCCAGCCTTTCTGTCAGCCTGCTCAAAGTTGGCTCTAGTCATAGCTCTTCCCTATCAAGAAGATTTTACAGTCTTCTATTTCTGGTAAGCAAGCATTGAAATTTCTGACCATAGTGTTTGAGATGAGTATTTCAGTAGCTCAGCCCTCTTCAGCCTCTGCAGTGTTATCACTTCAACTTCAAAGTCTCCTTTAACTCTGTGGCTGCAAGTGCGTGTAGATGCAAACTGGCTCTCCTCACTATAGAACCCAAAAATCAGTAAAGACTTTTTTTCTGAAAACCTAGGTACATTATCACTATCATACCCGTACTTACAATGTTGCCTATGTCAAGAATTGATTTTAACTCAAAGAACACATCCCCATGCCTGACCTGTATTCCATAACCAATTCAGCTCGAGCTCCAATAACACACAGCCCTATAACTAGGATGATTACATTGCTCAGCGTTTCTTGGGCATGTCATCTTACACATGTCCCTAAGCTGTACACAGAGACCTCTTTGTGACCCCTTTACTAGAACTAAGATGAATAGTTAACTATAAGACACAGAGATGTTTCATAATAGAATAGCAGTGAGGGGAACTGATCCTGGGGACAGGGGTTCTTTGCTTCTTTTTCTGTTTTTCAGGCAGTGTGCTCTAGCAGCCCTAAAGGATGTCCATAAATATCTCAGCCATGAGGAAGGTCACGTTGCGGTAAATAATCTTCCATTTTTTTCCCCCAGGCTCTCTGTCAGTATGAAAAATAGATAATACCTATGCCATATGTTATTCTAATACTTTGTTTATCTTAATAATTTCTACTGCCCCATGAGATGTGTCATTATTATGTTCTATTTTATATTAAAAAATAACTACAACAGAAAGATTCCTAGGGTGGTGTGATCTATATGTGGCAGAGCCAGAACTGGAATCCAGATTGTATAGTTGCAGAATCCATACTCTTAAGCCCTATGCTTTATGAATTTGCCCTCAAGATTCAGCAGTACAAAAACTTAAGACTGTATAGCACTGCTATCTTTTCTTTTTTCAAAATGTTAAAAACTTTATTAAAAATCCTTGCAAAAAATACAAACATAGCAAATGTACCAAAATAGCAAGACCCAAAGTCTAAGCAACTCCATGAACTTTTATACAGTTTAAAACAAAAGCTGTGAAACACATTTTTTTTCCTAAATAGAGATTTGCCTAAATATCTCTGCAATTTAATATCTTAAATCTTTGGGTTAGAGATCCTCAAGTATGCAAATGGCCCCTTCTTAGGTGCTAAAGATAGGGAATTTTTCCTATTCCTGGGAGTTTCTAAGGGTTTAGGAAGGAAAGGCCTCTAGAAAACAAGCTCTACTATATCTCTATCAGCAAATTTCCCATGGCTGTTGTCAAAGCAAGCCCTTCTTCTAGACCTGTTACTTGACCTATGTAATGATCCTAATAAACACATTCCTAGGTTGTAGGACATTTCTGCACAGATAGTATGGGCTCAATGCATGCTTTGAAAGTGACACAAGCAAATTCCAAACCCTTCTTTTTCTTCAAGTTCTGCCCCCTTCTGGTTCACATAGAAAAAGAGTGAACAAAGTATCCTATTGTATTAACACTAGATTGAGTGTAAGTTTATCTTGGTACATGTCTCTAGGTTTTTGATGCCACCAACACTACCAGAGAACGACGATCATTGATTCTCCAGTTTGCTAAAGAACATGGTTACAAGGTAGAGTGACATGCCCATGCTTACCTAGAACAAAATTCAAAGAAGTACAATTCGGATAGCATGCGTTCAACATCTAGCTCTCCACTGTAGATTCAGAAACAGCATAACAGACCAAAACAGGGGAGGTGACAGGCCAGACAGTAAAAGATGGTTACAGACAGGCTGATGCTGAGGATAATGATGTGGCAATGACGAAGGAGTCATGAGAAACATGTAAGAACTAAAAGCCAGCAGAAATCTGGGGCAACCCAATTAGAGCCAGGCTGCCTCATAGGAGTCAGAATCCTGAAAGCACTGTTGTGTGAAAGCATTGTTTTTAGAAATGTCCCTAGGGATGACTCAGGGCTATCAAGAGTGGGTAAGTCTGTTTGGCTCCCAGAAAACATAATACCCTGCTGGAAAGCTCTATTTTTCTCTTATAGGTCTTCTTTATTGAATCTATTTGTAATGACCCTGACATCATTGCAGAAAACATCAAGGTAAGGAACACCAATTACCTTTCTTCCTTATACTTTTTAAAATAAGTTTTAATTTAATTTACATTTTAAATCTGCATGTATTTATGTGTTTATGTGTATATGTGTGTGTACATACATTATATGTGTGTGTGTTCTTGTATGTGGAATGTACATGCCATAGTGTATATGTGGACATAACTTTAGGTGTCAGTCCTCACCTTCCACCTTGTTTGAGATAGGATCTTTTCTTGTTCTCCATTGCATATTCCAAGCTGGCTGGCCCTAATGTGTCTAAGGCATTCTCCTGTCTCCACGTCTTATTTCATAGAAGGAACACTGGGATTTTAAATACACACCACTACATCCAGCTTTATGTGTGTTTGTGGAATCTGAACACTTGTATGGCAAGCTCTTTATCTATTAATTCATCTCCCCATTCCTTAATCCTCCATATTTTGTCTCAGGCCAGAGTCATACCTAAAAGACCACCATAAACTTAAAAAAAGTGTTACTTCTGCGGGGCTCCTCCCACTTTGTACTTCCCTGACCATCCTTGCCCACAGTGTTCCTATAAAGTTAGCTTAAGCCAGCATATAGAGAGAGCACTAAGATTGACTCATTAATTTTTTTTCACAACAAACATGCATGTTGAGTATTCTTTCCCTGTTTTAGAGGGTGAAAGGAGGATCAACGAGTTGAGTTGGCAAAGACTGGTACAGCTTGAAAAACATGGAAGTAGGAATGCACCCCAGGCTTGGCTGTCTTTCTCAAAAGCCCATAGTCTGTATTATACCAAACATTTTGCATCAGAATCACTGCTACTTTTAGACTCTTAACTGCACAGTCTAGAATTAGATCACTCACAAACTTTTGTTGTTCCCTGTCCCTTCATATTATTGGAGCTCAGGAGCATATGAGACTTTAAAGGCCGTCTCTTTCACCACATACTTAAAAATCTCAGCTAAGTATTTGTCTGCATTTTCTGTTCACACCTATACTAACAAGTCATCATTTAAAAAATGTAACCCAATCAAAGTAAAATTGTTCTCCTATTTTGTTCTATTTCTATCTCTTGTGATATAGCATGTTCAAATCTTTTACCACTTCATCCACTCAATTATCTATCCATTTACTAATTCAGGTGTTCATGTGAAACTGTATACCCAAATAGCCATTATGGGCATTAAAGATAAAGAAACAGTTAGTGAAAACCCTTCTGTTGAACTCACAGTCTAGTTAGGGATACTGACAGATACATAGACAGAAGTCTTAAGATGATAGCTGAGTTAAGGGGGAAAAGAAGGTTATAAGAACACAGTAGTGAGGGACAATTGTGCATGTGGTGGTATGCCATGGAAGGCCCCCTAATAGAAGCAACAGCTATATCCTGATGGATGGACAGGAGTATTTACAGGTGAAGAATTGATATGGGGAATAATATACCCTAAATATGATATCTCCAGGGAACCATAAGTAGTAAGGCCAAAATGTGTGTTCAAGTAGGAGAATAGTAAGAGATGGTAGGGAAAGGCAATTTGAGTTGTCATAATTTTTCTTAAAAGACACATAGAAATGGTGACAAAGTTTAAGTATGAGACTCCCATTGTCAAATGTGCCTGTTACAAATATCCTTCTGGGGTCAGTGAGATGGCTCAGTGGGTAAAAATCGCTTGGCATACAAGCTTGATGACATGAGTTCTAGTCCCAGAACATAAAGGTAGAAGGAGAGAACTGACTCCACAACATTGTCCTCTGTCTTCCAAATGTGAGCATAGGCAAAAGATAAATGTCTATTTAGAAGAGAGATTAGAGAGGCTTAGTTCCTGCTAGCAAGTGAGGTTCCATGTAGGCTCAAGCAATAGAGTAGAAGAGTGGGAAATGTGGGAGAAGGTTGATATTGGGAGATTAGGAGATGCCAGCCTTTGAGAAATACAGCGACAGCATGCCTGTTTTCTCAGCAGTGACTAAATACATGAAAGCATTTATGATACCAAGTTAAGAATGATTCTTCTGCATCACAGTTTCCTGTCCTTTTACGGTTTCTTGTCCCCTTACAAATGTTGTTAAGCAATATGTTCTCTCAGAGTAAATATATTGTACCATGCAGCTCAACTTCTCTTCACTTGCCTAATTTTTAAACTTAAGCAAAACCCTTTGTCAAACTGTTCCCTTGCCTTTGTAATGGGGTGGATGGTTGTTGTCTGTAAAGACCTTTCCCAAGTACAATATCAGAGTCTCTATCTTCCCACATTTGTCTTCTTCGTGTCTTCTCACAGCAAGTGAAACTAGGCAGTCCTGATTACATAGACTGTGACAAAGAAAAGGTTTTGGAAGACTTTCTAAAGAGAATTGAGTGCTATGAGATCAACTACCAACCTTTGGATGAGGAATTGGACAGGTAAGAGCCCAACACCCAAAAGTCAGGATCTGGAACCTTAGTCCAGTTTTGATGGCTTATGGGACCTAGGAAATGTCCTCCTTTTGGGGGCCTTAACTTTTCTGTCTATAATATCAGAAGTGGGAAGATATGTCTTTATGACTCCCTCCAGTCCAGTTTTCAATGAGGCAATGATACCTTGATGTGGGAAGTACTCATAAGTTACCTAAAGTTGTGCCTTCCTGTGCAGTAGGTACAGATTTGGACTTTGCTTTCCAAGGACAAGTGCCTTCATTCTGTATATATTGCTGTTATTATAGCACAAATAATCTTTTAACATGGATGGCACCTCAGTCCCCAAACAAATTCACCTTCCTACTTTCATCACTTTCCCATGGTACCTCTATATAGAGGGTGCAGTATATCTGATGACCATAAACTTTCAATAAGAGGAAACTGAGTCTTAGGGAGCTAAAGCTACTTCAAGGCTTCTACCATAAGTCAAAGATGGGGCTAGAAGTCTAACCATAAATTCTGTCTCCTCACATTGCTCCTCTCATAACCCTCATATATCTCTCCAATGAACAAGTCTTTGGAAGCTTTTCCAGCAGAAGGTGTAAGTAGAAACAAATGAGATGGGTTTTATCCTTAGGTAGCTTCTACAGAGTCTCAGCATATGGAAAGACCCATGTATAAGCAATAAAACAAAAAATTTTTAAAAAAAATCTTTCATAATACAAGTGATAGATAGGCAAATTTAAGGCAGATGTGAGTTTAGATGTCAAGTGTTCAAAGAAACATACTATCTTCAAAATGAATTCTAATGAAAAAAGACTCTGGCTGCCCATACTCTTTGAGGCCTGAGTTTGAAGTATAGAAAGCCCATAAGTGATCATTATTACTGTAAAATTTTTTAAAGCGTCCTTTCAGTCTTATCCAGTAGACATATAAGGTGATGGGTATGTCACTTCATAGTTTGGGAAACTGACAACCAGGGATCAGTTTAAAGGCTTGTCCGCAGCCACAGTGAGTCAGCAATACAGTCTCTACTAAATGCTGTTTGTATTGCCCAAATTCCAGCCTGGTTTTACCCCTTGACACTGTTGTATCATAAGAAATACCAGAGGCAACTTACACATTCCATGCAAGAGACGTTACCTTCATGTTTAATCTTAGAGCTTACTCACTGTGCATGCTCCTTGATCAGAGCATTTGTTTCCCCCAGGAAGACATGTGATAGAAACAGGGTGTTTATGCTTTGAGAAAAAGAGTGGCTTTTTCAGATTCTACAACAGCAATATGTAAGCTAACTGTATATAATGGAAGGATCTTGAAAGAAGGGGGCTGAAGAAAAAGAATGTCATTAAGCAAGGCCCCAGACCTGAGTCTTGACACCTAGAAGAACACTGTTGGGATTTGTTTCTGTTATTCTTTTGTTAAGCCCATTGGGCCTGAAGAAGATGGATGTAGAAGACCAGCTTTATTTATTGTTTTTCCATTAATAGACATTTATAATCCATGCATCATGGCTAGCTTTAGTAGTGGCTAAGGAAGACAAAGAGGCAAAGCTGCCCCTGTTTTGCTAATAATTTGGAGAAGGTGCCGCGTACACAGACAACCCAGTTTTGAAAACAATAAGCCAGATGGTTGGAGGAACTCAGAGCAGGGACTTGGCCCACCTTGGGAGGAGAATGTCTGGATGAACTAGATTATTCAGTAGGCAAGCCATACATGTTTTCGGGGCATCAATAACACTGGATCTTCCAAACATAAGAAAGAAATTGCCCTATAGCTATTTTACAATTAGTATTTCAAAGTAGCAACAAGAAAAAGTGTGAAAAAAAAATCAGAATTTCATAGGGCCTCAGTATGTATGTATGTATGTGAAATTAATAAGAGTAAATATATATATATATATATATATATATATATATATATATATAATTTTAAATTACACAGATTGGGATATGAACTGTTATAATAATTTGGTGTTAAACAATTATAAATGTCTTTATAGAGCTCTAATCTTGATAGGAAATACCCTGGCTTTTGAAAACTGTATACATAAGAGCTCAGCTTTGGAAATCAGCAAGTTGTCCTTTCAACAAAATGAAAAATACTTTGTGACAGCTGGCCTAATTAGCTTTGAGTACAAAAAGAGGAGTTCAAAGAATATTCCAAGTACAACAGGAATACAAGAATTAAAAAGCCATGGGTAAAGTGTGGTGCTGTGAGGTGAGGCCAACTGCAGATAGCAAGTAAAACCACCTAGGATGTCAGACAAAAGTTCCGTTAGAGCCACGTAGCATCTAGTATTAGAAACAATTACCAGGCAACAAGATTGTATCAGAGATATTCTGCTTTTAGGCTCTGGGGGTCCAAGACAGATCACTGGAGCGGGATGCATTCTCTGGCAAATTGCTTCTCTGTGTGCTTCAGATTTTTACATGATGGTCTTTTCTTTGAATGATGGCTATGAGGATTCATACATCTTAAAATCCCCCGAGTCTCTGCAAGATACACACAATAATATATATATATATATATATGTAGTTTAGCAAATGCAAGTGAGCTGTGAAGGATGAGGCTATAGCTACAAAGGACTTTTCTAGGAAGATAAGGAAGAAGTCGCTGAAACCAAAACCATCAGCAGCCTTATCGGCTCTGGGTTGCTTGTGTCACCCTGTGACTCTAGTTCACATGCCTTTTCCCTCAGAACTCTTTTAATTTCTTAGATAACTGGAGGGTTTATGGCTGTTACAGAAGATGTAGAAGTCTCACTGACTCTAAGTCTTCTGATCAGTTGGTATCCTCACCCCTTCCTCCCCTATCTTCCAGAGTCAGTTTGTTATATTTGATTATTACTCAGCATTTAGTTCCTAGAGCTGAGCACATAACTAAGGAGACCACCAGGTACTTGGAGCCAGGACCACAAGTTTACCAGTGATGTTCTGGACCGTTTCTGTATCTTTCACACCAGAACTTGGCCCAGTATGCTGTTTGTGACAAGAATGTTGAATATTGTCCACGTGTTTCCAAGTGTCTGTTTCTGACTGCTCTGAGAGTTCCGAAAGGGCAGCTAGCCTCTTCCCAAAGCACAGTGCATTATTCAGATAATAGTACTTGTGAGTTGCAGGTATAGAATATAGAAAAGACCCATGGCCAATTTCATTGTGATTAGGAAAGATCAAGTGACAACTTGACTCAAACTAAAAAAAAAAAAAAAAAAGGAGAGGGTAGCTGGTGATGAGCTCCTTAGGGTTGTCAGGAGCAAAATCTCTAGGACATACACCCAGGACAAGACTAGCCAAAACATCTTGTTAGGAGTAGCTGAACTTCAGAGAAGGCTTGGAAGCAGGATGTGTGGTTGGAACTTTCTCTTGGGATCAACCCTCCCTACTATCAGCACCTAAGCTATGCTTGCTCCTGCTTGGGTCTGGCCCAGCCACCTGTCCTATATCAAGATCTTTGACGTGGGCACACGCTACATGGTAAATCGCGTGCAGGACCATGTCCAGAGCCGCACAGCCTACTACCTCATGAACATCCATGTCACTCCCCGTTCAATCTACCTATGCCGGCATGGTGAGAGTGAGCTCAACCTCAGAGGCCGCATTGGAGGAGACTCTGGCCTCTCAGCTCGGGGCAAGCAGGTAAGGAGGGCTCCAAAGACTTGGGTGGGTAGGCTAGGCTAGCCAAGGTGGGGTGGCCAATGACTGGGTTTTGATGGGAAAGAAGCTAATTATGATTAATCCTTCTCGTCCACCATTAGTACTGTCACAGACATTGAATGCTTCCCATATACCTACTGTTTCTGCAAGACCAGTCCTCCAAGGCTGCCCAAATTGAGCTGTTTTACAAGCTCTATCACAGTGCCTTTCCCCTACGTGATGTCTCCCCTCATCATTCTCACCACTCTGTCCTTTGCTCATGCCCACCTTGCTCTCCTATTTGGTCCTTCTGTCAGTTGGTAACTGTCAAGTACATTGATAGGTGATCTGGGAGCCTCATCCTGAATCCCTCACCTCCATAACTGTGTTGACATTGTCCCCTACCCAATTTGAGAAATCACACTGTCCCCAACCTACTGTCTCTTTCTCACTCCATTCCCTTCCAAAACACAAGTCTAGTCCCCAGAAAGCCCTCCCTATCCACTTCTTATCCCAGGGGTCACTGGTCTTTGGGGACATCTCTTCTCATTCTAGTCTGTTACTGACTCTCTCAGGTCATAATTGTCCCTGTTCCCAGCCCAGTACATCCACCTGTCCATTCTGAGTACTGGTTTCATAAAGAATTTTACTTCTAAGTTTCTTATCTTTTCCCTGGGTTTGTTAGCATACATGTTGCTGGAGAAAATCACTTAGGAATGGCATAGGCAAGACATGAAGTGCAGGAAGGTCATCCCCGGTTCTTAGTGTCTTTTTCAACATTTCATTTGTTTTTATTTTATGGATATATGTGATTACCTGCATGTGTTTTCTGTGAACCATGTGCATGCCGAGTGTACACAAAGGCCAGAAGAGGGAAGGCCTCAGCTCCTCTGGAGTTATAAATTGTTGTGAGCTGTCATATGGGTACTAAGAAAGCAGCAGCCACTGATACTAACTGCTGAGCCAAATCTTCAGTACCTTACTTTCTTTTATTGGACACCTATACATAAGCAGTGTAATTTTCCATCAACTTCCCCTGTAATTTTTGGCATCAGCAGTGTTGACTGGGCATAAATCATTGTTTATGGATGAGGAAGCTGAGTGACAGAGGCAGAGAACAGTATCTGATCACATGGCAGTACAGGATAACATAAGCAGGACTGATGTTGTCTCCTGTGCCAATGAATTCAAGGCTCTTTCCCACTTTTTCTTCTAAAAGGTTTACTGTGTCTGGTTTTATGTTGAGGTCTTTGATCCACTTGGACTTTAGTTTTGTGCAGGGTGATAAGTATGGACCTATTTGCATTTTTCTAAATGTGGATATCTAGTTAGACCAGTACCATTTGTTGAAGACAAAATCATTTTTTCATTGTATGGTTTTGGCTTCTTTGTCAACAATCCATTATCCATAGATGTGTGGGTTTATTTCTGTGTCTTCTATTTGATTCCACTGATCCACCACTCTGTTTCTATGTCAATACTATGAGTTTTTATTGCTGTTGCTCTGTAGTACAGCTTGAGATCAGAGATGGATGGAGATACCTCGAGAAGCCTTTGATCACTCTTCAACTGTAACTTTGTATCTATTGATCAGCCTGTCTGTATCTCACCCTCTCAAGAGTATGTCTTTATGTAACTTTTTACAGTACTAGAAATAGAACCCAGCACCTCAATATCTGTTAGGCAAGTGCTCTACCTCTGAGCTATAGTCCCAGATTTATGTTTATAGAAATTTAATCCCCAGTTTCTTGATTGTCCATTAGGACTTTACCATTCATGAGATATTTGAACTTGTTCTTGTGGCTCCCTTGGTTTTACCATTCTCACCTCCCCCCCCCTTTTTTTTTCCTTTCTCTCCTTTGTACTCCTAGTATGCCTATGCCCTGGCTAATTTCATTCAGTCTCAAAGCATAAGTTCCCTGAAGGTGTGGACTAGCCACTTGAAAAGGACCATTCAGACAGCTGAGGCCCTGGGTGTCCCCTATGAACAATGGAAGGCCCTGAATGAGATTGATGCGGTAAGATGGAAAGGGTTAATGTCCTGGCATGTAGGGAGGTGGTAATTCTAGGCTTATTTCATGGCTTACCTCTACTCCAGGGAACCTGATTAGTTCATCAAATATTTCTATGTTTTTTGTTTGGTTTGCTTTTTTTTGTCAGCCAACCATGTATAATAGAATATTCTGTGTCATGGAGATCTTGTGAAGCCCAGATAATCTCAGCATTGCCCTATGGAAATGTCTCGGGGGCATCTTCATGATTTTTAATTTATGTAAAAGACCAGTCCACTGTGGACAGTGCCATCTATAGGCAGGTATATGGGATATATAAGAAAGCCATCTTAATGTGATCCTGAGAGTAAGCTAATAATCACATTACTTTCATGGTTCTTCCCTCTGCTCCTGCTTGAGTTCCTGCCCTGCCTTCCCTTAATGATGAAGTATTATCACCTAGAAGAGTGAAATGAAATAAACCATTTCCTATCCAAAATGTTTTCAGTTGTGGTTTATACAACAAAAGAAACCAAACTAGACAACTTTTATAAGGTAATTGTTATTTTAAGCAGGTTGCCTAAAGTGAAAATAAGGCAATGGACATTTCCATGGGGAAAAAGCCTCACAGTAGACCTCAGTAGAAGAATGAGAACAGTCTAAAAGGATCTTTGTGTACCTCCTTTCCTATGAGCAATGTCCATTCAAAAAGCCTGATACTGCAGAGCTGTTTGTAAATTCTAAGTACTCTGTTCCTTGTGTCTGAAGGAAGGCTGATAGATAGACCAAAAAGACAACAGAGTCTGGTGACTCTGAGCAGCATGCAAGCAGGGTTTAATTGAAACTTACACACTTTGAAGGAAATATCAGAAACTGCATCACTTTTTACCACCAGCACTAGCAGCCTTGCCTATGGAGGCCTATTGGTAGTCTTGGAAGCTCTTAGAATTTATCTTTTCAGACTCACTTGAAAACCACTAAAATATACTAGTTTTTGCCTTATGAAGTACCTGTAGATACATTTTTCCCAGTGATACTGAAATAGAGGGCAGGTCAAGAAGGATCAGGAAGGCTACACAATGGGAGAACATCACTGCATTATGTACTTGCACAAAGAGTTTCAGGCACTTGCCACAAGTATGCACAGGTGCACACATTTACTTCACAGTCACAAGAACCCTAATCGTGCTAATCATGCACATACATCTAGAAACAAATATTGGCACATCATATCCATATATACATTTCTTATGGAAACAGGTCAGCAAATGATTGACATGTGTACAGCACTAATACCATGGCTTCAAGCATATTTCTTTAAAATTTACAGACCTCAGAAATGAGCACACAAATACAGATATATAGCAGAAACATAATGCAGAATGTATATACATGGGCATATATTGATGCTATATGCCATCAATACACATAAATAACACATACACCAGAGTCAGCCACGTGGTCCTATTCTCAGATTCTTAGACACCCTGTATATACACACAGAGAATATAAATGCACTATATATGCATAAAAAGATATGTAATGTACACACAAACTCAAGGCTTTGAACATGGCTCACATAATAATCTTGCCGCATATATTTAAAAACACAGTACCAAGTCCTTATTTCTCTGTATTTATAGCTATTTATAGCAACATATACATACATACATACATATATATAATTTACACATATAGAACTACTGAGGTAATCACAGGAAAATATCATATACTCAATCTGAACACAACCCATCCATTTATCCTCACAGACATACACAAGCCACATACCTCACAAACACATACACACCCTGGCAACAGGTACAACTCAAGAGCTACGGTCACAGAAAAAATAGGGATTATACTATTCCATAATCATTGGTACCAAAACTGTATGAAAAGCTGTGTATTTCCCTTGTTGAATATATTGTTCAGAAATTCTTTTTTGTTTTTGTTCTTTTTTGTGTGTGTGTTTTCGAGACAGGTTTTCTCCGTGTAGCCCTGGCTGTCCTGGACTTGCTTTGTAGAGCAGGCTGTCCTTGAACTCACAGAGATCCACTGCTTCCCAAGTGCTGGGATTAAAGGCATGTGCTACCATGCAGCTCAAATACTTTTTTAATAGGGTGTCTGTGAGGAGATGACCTATGAAGAAATTCAGGAACACTACCCTGAAGAATTTGCACTACGGGACCAGGATAAATATCGTTACCGCTATCCCAAGGGAGAGGTAAGGTTTGAAGGGGTGGCCTAACTGCTAAAACTCCTCCCCTGTATCCTCATTTCCACAGTTTCCTAAATAACTTTAGAAACAAGACAAAGCATGTTTTCAGTAGCTGCCATTTGTCAAGGTACATGGTCCTTAGCTGCAGACAAGCTGTTCCTCTTCTATTAAAAAATATCTATTCATTCATTTATTTATTCACTCACTCAGTGTGTGAGAGCATGCATGCCATGGCCTGTGTGCTTATGGAGGTTAGAGAACAACCGGTGGAACTCTGTTCTCTCCTTTCTCCATATGAATCCTGCAAGTAAACTCAGCTCATAAGGTTCAGTGATAGGTGCTAGGACCTTCTACTCCTTTTTTTTTAAAAGCTACATATCCGCCTTATAAGCACTAGTACTTTTAGTGGAACATACTTTATCCAAAGCCTTGTATTTGTCATTTCCTTACTGGACAACTTGAAATAGCTCAATATACTCTAATTCTGTAAGACGTTGTTGCCAACTTGCCTAAAGCTCTGGGCTCTCTCAGCAGGTGTCATCATTCCAAGGAACAAAAGCTATTAGTTTAATCAACTTCCTGGCTACCATATGAAACAGAGTATAATTTTCCTGTCTCTATATGATATGACAGCTTATTGCTTTCAATCCAGCCTCTACTTAGCCAGTTCTACATTTTAGTGTGTTTATTAGTCATACTCCATTTCTGATCCAAACCCTTATAAAAATATGGACATCTGGGAAGATAAAACAGTAGATATTATATTCAGTCACAAATCACTTTAATATTTTCATCTTCATCCTCAGAATGAACTTTATGAAGTCAATGTAATTTGTTCTCATTTCCTTTTTATATATTTTAGGCTATGTTATTAGAGGCATACAAATTAAAAGCAATATTGTCTTCTCACTGAATTATATGTTTCATTAAGAGTAACTAAACTTTTTTCTTACTAATGCTGTTTGCCTAAAATATATATATTCTAACACAAATCTAGCTCTACATGTTGGCTTCTAAACATTTGCTGAGTTCATCTTTATTTGCTCACTTTCAACTTTTCTTAGTTATTTTGTTTGATTTATGTCTCTTATAAGCAATTGATAGTTGGATTTTGTTGTTTTTAATCCAAACTGAAATATGACTTTTGAATGCTAAGCTTGGTACATATTTTTTTTATTGTTATTACAGACTTTTTAACATTTGTTTCTATTGTCTTGAACTTTCTATGCTTACTTTATTTTTCTCTTGCTTTCCTTAGGAGTGAGTTTTTCATCAATATGTGTTATAATCTGTTTCCAGATTCTTGTGGAGGTTACGCTTAACTTAAAAAAAAATCATCATGGTTCTTTCTGTTTTTGAAGATATCCCACTAAGGGTATGAGGTCAACATATTGTACTTTAAAATCACTCAGAATAATTTGTTGTGTATTGTTATACAATTATCTTGAACATTAAACTTTTTATATTTCTTTTTAAAATTAATTAATTTATTTAATTGCTTTACAGTCTGATCCCAGCCCCCTCCCTCCTCTCCTCCCAGTCTCACCCTTGTGCCCCCTCCCCTGTTCGCTCCTCTTGTTCTTTTAATTAAAATTTTCATACAATATATTTTGATTGTTTTCCCTCCCCCCAACTCCTCCAGGATCATCCCTACCTCCCTATTTGCCCAATTTTGTTGTCCATTCTCCCCACTCACTGTCCCTTTAAAAAAAAAAAACACTGAAACACAAAAGTGAAAACTAAGACAAACAAAAAACTGTGAGACAGAAATCCCAAAACAAAGCAAAAGGCTCATACACAAAACAAACAAAAACCAAAGCATGGAGTTTATCTTGTATTGACCAACTATTCTCCAGTATAGGGTCTGCCCTGAAGTGTGACAGGTCTTTGGAGAAGACTGACTTTCCCTTTGCCAGTGGTCATCAGTTGCAAATAGCTTCTTGGTTAGGGGTAGGATCCCATGTCCACTTCCTTCTTTCTGTGGTAGGACCCTGTCTGGTTTGAATCTATGTAGGTCTTGTACATGATGTCGGTGTCTCTGAATTCTTACTTATTATCAGTCCTGTTGTGTCTGGAAGACACTGTTTCCCGGGAGTCATCCATCACCCCTGGCTCTTAAAGTCTTTCTGCTTCCACTCCAAAGTAAGATCCCTGAGACTTGAAGGGAAGGGTTTTTATGAAAGCATACCACTTAGGACTAAGTGTTCCAAAGTCTCTCACCTTCACACATTGTCCAGTTGTGGGTTTCTGTGTTAATTTCCATTACTCTAAGAAGAAGCTTCTCTGATGAAAGTTGAGTGAGGCACTGATCTATGGGTATAGCAGTATGTCAACAGAAGTCACTTTATTGTCATGCTCCTTTAGCAGAATAATAGTATTAGATTTAACATTTGTGCTAGTACATCTTGTGGGCAGGTCACTGTTGTAAGTCACAGGGTTTGTAGCTGGGTGACATTGGCAGTCACTTTTCTCTGGTAGAGTACCTTCCAGCACCATAGATGGTAGTCAGTAGGGGTAAAGTTTAGTTGTGTACCAGGTCAACTTTTCCATGTTGGATGACATAAGTTATATCCTTACTGTCCTTACTGTCAGATTGTGGGAACAACCAATAGTCTGCAATGTTTTGTGCAGTTCCATGGGACCCCTTTGGCCAACGATTCAACGAGATGTAACCCATTTTTGGGCCTGGAGGTTTTACTTGGTAACATAAGATGTCTAATTGGGACATTGTCTCCTTTATTATATAGTGATTCCATTTAAATTCTTTTCATATGTGTATATATTTTAAGAAGCTTTTACAGTAGTAGGTTTACATGCAGTTTTTCAAAGACCTTTAGTGTTAGTTATCTCTCTGCAGATTGCCACCTTTACCCTGCTCTCCTATACCCCTCTCCAAGGAAAAGGAAATAGAATATAATGTTATGGAGAGATAAAGGAGAATCTAGAATAGGCACATGTGGGATTTTAACATATATGATAACAAGATCTAAAATCAATATCTCTGCTGTCCCCCTAAATAATACAGGATCTTTCAAACTTCGCTAACTTCCTGTTGTTTTATATTAATCATGTAACCTCAACTCCTAAATGAACTATTACTGTCATAGTTCTTGTTACTGTTACTTCATGAGTCATGTAACTAAATGTTTCCTGAGCCTTTGATCATTTTTCTTCTATCTCAAGTTGCATTTTTTCCATCTTGTTGTAGAAGTTACTCTACTAAAAATATGTCAGTAGTACTTTCCTTTTATCTAAAACTATCTTGTGGGTGTGTCCTCAGTCATTGCTGATAATTGGTTGCATATAAATCTCTCAGTTGACTTGTTTTCTCAGTCCTTTAAAGATTTTCTTTCATTGTCTCTCTGTTTCTACTGTGGCTAAGAATTTTTTCAATTTCATTGCTTCTTTTGCTCATTGGCTAAGTGGAAAGTCTTTACATCTTTGTTGCCTTTAAGCTTTACTCTTGTATGTCTAAATATTAATTTCCCCTCCCCACCTCCTCCCCTCTTCTTTCCTTTCCTCTCCTTTTTTTTGTCCTCCTCCCCACTCACTCTTCCACTTCTCTCCTCTATTTTTTAGTCTCTTTTTTCCTTTTTCCTCTGCTCTCTTCAGCCCTTCCACTCCTTTATCACCATCTCTTTCTTTCTCTTTCTCTCTTCCTTTCTTTTCTCATTCTGAGGTTCACATATAAGGCTTTCTACATGTCCTTTACACTATCAGCCTTTTAAAAGAAATTGTTGCAGAAAGCTTTTCATATTTTCCCATCATAACCAAAGAGAGGAAGATACATTTTCTCATTGTTTCCCTTTTTCCTATAGATGGACTTTCTCTTTTTCCTTTTTTTTTTTTAAGCTTTCATGGAGGGTATAAAGATGTGTCCTCTGACAGTCTCAGATTTATGTTGAGTTTGAACTCCTAGTGTAACTCTTGGTTAATGAGAATGCCAAATGTCCTGGAATATCTGTGGTAGCTACACTTATTCTTTTTTTTTTTCTTTTCCTTCCTTCCTCTTTTTTTTTCTATTTTGAAATACTACAGATCAAAACTTTTCTTAATTTTTGAAATGCCAGTTGTACAGTTAAGTAAATTTTTTTATAGTGGGTTTATACTTTTGTCTTTTAGCCCACACTTATTGATTGGTTCGTTTAACAGATGAGAAACTAAAACCCTGAGAAACAACTGATTTACCTAGTCATACTGTTGGGTCAACAATTCTGGCTCCCAAACCAAGTTTTCTTCTCTGGGTAAATATGCTTCACTACCACCATCCCACTTCTTACCAATTATTTTTCTTTTCTTTAGTCCTATGAAGATCTGGTTCAGCGTCTTGAGCCAGTTATAATGGAGCTAGAACGACAAGAAAATGTACTGGTGATCTGTCACCAGGCTGTCATGCGGTGCCTCCTGGCATACTTTCTGGACAAAAGTTCAGGTAACACTCCTCTCTCTGTATGAAGAACTGATATAATTTGAGATGCTGATATCAGCAATTAGAAGTTTATATCTTAGTGTTTAAAAGCACAGTACTTTAAAACAAGGATATCTTGGCTCAAACTTGTTATATACATCTGTGCTTATGTCTCCATTTCTTACTCTCTTTCACACAGAGATCATTCTAGCTGCTCAGGCCCTCCCTGGGAGCAAGGTTCCACAGGGCTAGGCATGTGGTTTTATCTTCATTATTCAGAAGAGTGATGAAAGAAAGCCCAGAGAAATTATATGAATTACAATATATACACACAGAATCACAGGTCTATGAAACCTTCAGATTGTACCTAATCTAATCTTGTTCTGTAAAATGGGGACACAGAGGGCCAGAGAGAGGAGACCATGGAAGAGTTGGGTCAGAGACTTTAGATAGGTTACCTCTGTTCTTGTAATCTGTTTCTTCATATGAAAAGTAACAATGGACAGGACTCTGAACATCATGAAGGTACAGTGTGGTCATAAACACACACAAAAGTAATTGGTCCAGAGCTTGATTATGACTATTGACAGTTAGGATGAACAGAATGAATTTCCAGGAAAATGCCCCATCCTGTTATATCAGGAGGTTGTGAGGATATTGGCACGCCTTCAAAACCTACAATTAACCTATAAGACAAGATATCATTATAAATGATGTTGTTCCAGTTAAAGAAGGACAGTAAAGATATGTATTACAGCCTGGAGAATGGTGAGATGCATGTCAGGATAAAGTGCCTAGAAAGCTGTATCTCCAGGACTCTGAATTCCTCCATGGTGGCAGCTATAAGCTACAGTGGCAGAATAGGCATCTTGTCTTCTGACTACCCTGAATTTGAGGCCCCAGACTGCCAAGGCCCAGATTCCCAAGCCATGGTATGTTTACCTTTGAAGCCTGTTTCCTTATCTGTGGAATGAGCCAGATCACCATTCTCAGTCTGTCTGATAAGTAGAAACACTGGTCTAGATAGGAAATTGTACATAAATGTTCACAGTCACTTTCTGCATGATCATCAGTAACAAAAAAATAGTTAAACAATCAGGTTTTGTCCATAAACAAGTTGTAAGAATCACAGAGAGAGAGAGAGAGACAGACAGACAGACAGACAGACAGACAGAGAGAGAGACATGGGGGTGGGGGACAGGGATGGGAGATTGCTGCCTGAACTCAGGAGAAGACTGTAAAAGTAGGCAAATGCCATATGTGACCCTTGTGGAGTGGACGTCTCAGGGGTTCTGTGGAAAGTTTACCTGGGCAGAGGGAAGCTTGCCTTCATCTCCTTCTGATTCTGTAAGTCGAGTTGAGGTCCCTTGGTGGATACCTAGTCTTCCTGTGGGACTCACACTCTGTCCACCTTTCCCAAGGTGTCTTCCCCCTGTTCACAGGCAGCTGTCTTGCTCTCACAACTACCCACCATAGAGAATATACTGTAAGTAAGTCCATGCTGGGGCCCAAGAAGGAAACAGGTAGAAGTAGGAGCACCCAGCCAGACCAGATGTGGCCCTCTGCCCAGTGCTACATCTCTCAGGGCTGCTTCTTCCTCCTTTCCAGATGAGCTGCCCTATCTCAGGTGCCCTCTGCACACAGTGCTCAAACTCACGCCTGTGGCTTATGGTAAGTACTCTCACACTCATCTATGGAAAGGCACTAGAAGCCACAGGTCTGCCTCCAGCATCTACCTTTTGCTCTAGAAGGCTGTTGGGTGAGGTTCCCTAGAAGGCTGGCAGGATGTCCTGGTAAAGGTGGGGCTGGTGACAGTAGGATAACAAGAAAGAACTAGGCCAGCATCCCTATCTGGATCCTGGCTTCTTCTGTCTCTGACTGGGCACTGAGTACAACATTGTCCTATTTGTGTTGAGGCAGAGGTGTCCCCAGAAGAGACCTCAGGAAAATTCTAGGTAGGGGCGATATTGCAGAAGGAGCTCAAAGAACATTCTGGGAAGTTTAGATTCTATTGGGGCATTAGTTAACTCTGAAAGCTTCATAAGCAGGGAATGGGTAGAATCAAATGTAATCCAGGGTATGAACAGGAAAAAAGGGCATACCAAAACCTGTGGAAAGATAGCTTACAGGAATGGCACTGAAGGGGCTACGATTGAGCAGTGGAACAACTCTACCAGCCCTGGGCCCTTCTTCAGGTCCTGTTGAACTTCCCAGTAATCACACCTCAGGTATGCCTATGACTGTCTTCTGAATAAACCTTGTCTGGGTTTGAGTATCCAGAACTACAGCCCAAGACTCTTCCACCTTGCATGGTATAGAGGCTCCATAGAACTCTGTCAGTCGTAGATTCAATCACTGTCGATTGGTCAGAAGGGTGGGGTTGGTCACAGAGATCATCTCCTTCCTTTGCTCATGTACAAATAAGCAACTGAAGCTGAGCACACATACACAAGCAGAGCTGGAGAGGGTGACTGGTGACTGCAGGGCTTTTGGTCCTGGAATCTTTCCACAAATGCTAAAGGTTATCTGAATTCCCCTGTATTCAGAGGGAATATAATCTAGAGCAGTGGTCTTCAAGCTTCCGAATACTGCTCCTCATGTTGTAGTGACTCCCATCCATAAAATTACTTTGTTGCTACTTCATAACTCTAAGTTTGCTACTGTTATGAATCATAATGTAAATATCTGACATGCAGCATATCTGATATTCGGCCACCAAGGAATCAAGATGCACAGGTTGAGTATGACTGTTCTAGAGATTATTGACCTGGGTATGGGCAGTGATGATGGGAAAGGGGAATATATCTTAGGGAAGACCTGGCCTTATCCTGAGCATTTATAGACATATGAGTTATTCTTTCCTGAGGCTGCAGAGTAGAGTCCATCTACCTGAATGTGGAGGCTGTGAACACACACCGGGACAAACCTGAGGTAGGTGGGGTGCTCTATACCCAAGATGGCTGTTAACAACATACATGCTGAAAGTACCCTCCTACATGAAAAGGTTTCTTCAGCCCCAGGCATCCCAGATGTTTCAAATTAACCAGAACTCAGAATTGGCAAGAACCACAGTCCAGTCCCATAGAGACTCCGGGCTGTGACAGTCTCTGCCAAACAGGCCTTGGACTGATTCCCTGGCATGCCTAAGAAAATGGCCAGGACCCATGCCCTGCTGAAGGAGGGGTGCCTGACAGCGAGAAGAGGCAGGTCAAGGACTGGGACTCTATGCTTCCTACTAACCCTTTTTCTGGCCTCTCTTCTTAGAATGTGGACATTACCCGTGAACCTGAGGAAGCCCTGGATACTGTCCCTGCTCATTACTGATTCTTTTCCAAATAATGAAGAGATTGTCATCATTGCCTTCTGCCTGTAGGAACTGCTGTCCTTGTTCTCCCTAAGCAAACTCTGGCTTTGGCCTGAGATTATCCTACCTCCAAGGAAGAAGTCCGCAGCAGCTCCTAAACAGATCTTAATTACTAGCTACAACTAAGGAGCCTACCTGATAAAGTTCTTTTAAAATAACTATTCTCTGATGAATAAAGACATTTCTTCCTGCCTATAGGACAGGAAGGGGTTATAAGGCTTTTCCCATTGTTCTCAAGATCTCTATTCTAACCCAACTCTGCTGCTGTTGGTGAAGAATGAATGGGTGAGGATGTCTGAGATGGAAGAATCCTGGGGTGGCACCCTCAAAGATGGAAAAGATAGGTCCTTGTGTTTCCTGTTGTTTTTATACTTTGGTAGTCAAGGTGCATGGGGACAGGATGTATTCATCATTATACTCAGAGAAGAATCCAGTTGTTGGGCCAAGATCTTCAGTATCCTCCAACTCTTGCTACCATTCTGAGTAATCTCATTGCCTCTGTTAATGTTACCATCAGCATCCTCCCTCAAATTGAGTGTGTCTTCCTCAACTTCAGTGATTATCTGATTTCATCTGTGGCATCCTCTTTCTGGGCTAACTTGTCCATAAAACCGTATCATCCTTAAGACTTTAGAAGCACAGCACATCTTCACACCATAGACATTCATGTTTTTTTTTAATTTTTTAAAATTTTCTAAATTTTCATTAATTATTTACTTTGTATTCTGGCTGTAGCCACCTCCCCCATCCCCTCCCAATCCCATCCTCCCTCCATCTTCTCCTCCTATGCCCTTCCCCCAGTCCACTGATAGGGAAGATCCTCCTCCCCTTCCATCTGACCCTAGTCTATCAGGTCTCATCAGGACTGGCTTCTTTCTCTTCCTCTGTGGACTGGTAAGGCTGCACCCCTCTCAGGTGGAGGTAATCAAAGAGCCAGCCACTGAGTTCATGTCAGAGACAGTCCCTGTTCTTAATGAACAGTACCTGCCCTTGTTCATCATAATGTTCCTTTTGAGGACTCCATTTTCTCCTACTTTATTAGTTTCTCAGTATTCTTCTGTCCCTAACCAACTTGGACCTATCTCTTCTGCTGGACCTATCTCTTCTGCCACTGTCCATACACTAACCATTGTAGGTCAGGTAGTAGGTACCTAACAATCTTGCTGTCCTTTTCCCTAGTCCTTTCATCACAATCACCTAGGAAGATCCAAGCCTTGAATCATCCAGAACTTTTTTCCCTCTGGGACCTACTAGGGTTGCACATCACTGCTTGAAACAAATCTATTTGTCCACTTTTTTTTTAATTTTATTTTTTTAATTTTATTTTTCTTATTACATTTTGTTAACTCTGTGTCCCAGCTGTATCCCACTCCCTCATTCCCTCCCCAACCCCACACTCCCTCCCTGGTCTCCTCCCCACCCCTTTCCAAGTCCACTGATAGGGGAGGACCTCCTCCCCTTTCATTTGACCCTGTTGTATCAGGTATCTTCAGGGCTGGCTGCAAAGTCCTCCTCTGTGGTCTAACAGGACTGCTCCTCCCCTGGGGGGGGGGGGTCAAAGAGCCTGCCCTTGAGATCCTGTTAGAAATAGTCCTTGTTCCCCTTACTTTGGGAAACTACTTGGTTACTGAGCTACCACAGGCCACATCCAAGCAGAAGTTCTAGGTTATATCCATAGATGGTCCTTGGTTGAGTGTCAGTCTCAGAAAAGACCCTGTGCCCGGATATATTTGGTCCTGGTAGAGCTCCTATCCTTTCCATGTCATACTAACTCCCCTTCTTTCATATGATTCCCTGCACTCTGCCGAGGGTTTGGTTATGAGTCTTAGTATCTGCTTTGAAACACTGCTAGGTAGAGTCTTTCAGATGCCTTCTGCAATAGACTCCTGTCATACGTTCAATGCACATCCCATTTGTCTTTCTAAATGAGGATTGATCATCTTCGCCCATGTCTGCTTTCTTGATTATCTTCTTTAGGTGTGTAGATTTCATTATGTTTTATCATATCTTGTAGGTCTATATAAGCGAGTATATACCATGTTTGTCTTTCTCCTTCTGGGATACTATTTGTCCACTTTTACAGCTACCCTTGAATCCTGTTCAAAGTCAGGTTCACCCTGTATTTTCTGGTACCCTGGCCCTTTCCACCACCTAACTAGTCAATTCCTAACTCTTCCATATCAATCCCCAGTCTCTCAATTGGCTCTGGCCCTACACTCCATACTTATATTTCTTTCCTATCCCAAGAGAATGCCCTCGTGTTCCCATGTCCCTTCTTATTCCTATATTCTTAAACAGCTACCCAAAATTATTGTGAATTTTCTGTCCATAGCTCTATTTGCCCTGTACCTCAGGATTCCCCCTTCCTTATCTTTGTTCAAGCTATCAATTATTCTTTGGCCTTCCACATGTTCCCAGAGCTCTCTGACCCAGAGAAATACCCAACTTTTAGCAGCAGCCCCACAGTCCCCAAAAAGCCAAGTTAAACTCTAGCTGTTCTGCAAACCGAAAACAGTGCATGTAGCTATATTAAAGGATGGAATAAAATCAGGTTGCTTTGGCAAATTTAATGTAACTCTGATACCAAAATATGACAACACCACAAGAAGCAAACACAAAGCAGGAACAGCAGAATTTTTTTTTTTCCATTCAGCTGATGGGTAGTAGCTGCTTAGACTGCTGTGTGGACAATGATTCCAAAGCTGCACATGGCTCCATGGGAAGTACTGCTGCATTTAGCTTTATCTGTAAACATGGGGAACAGACCTGAAAAATGAAGCAGAATACCCAGAAACACATGTTAGTGCTTGTCTTCATCTCATTTGGCCCTCCTATCTTAGGGTTTCTTCTAGTATCTCCTATTATAGCTCTCCCCATGGATTCTGGCTAAGGGAATATTGTAGTTACCTGAAACTTCACTAGCCGTAAGAGAAGCCACAGGTACCAAGGCTACTGGCTCCACCACCAAAGCCAGTACCGGTGCTTGGTCCACCACTGAATCCAGCATTGGTGCTCATTCCACCACCGAAGCCAGCTGCAGTACTTGGTCCTCCGAAGCCAGCTCCAGTGCTTGGTCCACCGAAGCCAGCTCCTGAACTTGGTCCACCACCAAAGCCACCAGTGCTTGGTCCACTGCAGAAGCCAGCACCAGTGCTTGGTCCACCACTAAAGCCAACAATAGAACTGGGTCCATTACTGAAGCTGGAGCTGGTGATGGGTTCACCAGTAAAGCCACTGCTGGTGTTGGAATCACTGCCAAAGCCAATGATGGTATTCAGTCCTCTGTCGAAGCTGGGATTAGGCCCACTGCCAAAGCCATTGCCAGTGCTGAGGCTTACACTAAAGCCTGCACCAGTGCTGAGTGTGCCGCCAAAACCTGTATTGGTACCCAGGTCACCAGCAAAGCCATCACTAGTGACCAGTCCACCACCAAAGCCAGTGCTGCTGCCCAGTCCATCACCAAAGCCAGCGCTAGTGCCCAGTCCACCACCAAAATCAGTGCTAGTGCTTAGTCCACCATCAAAGCCAGCACTGGTACCCAGTCCCCCACAGAAGTCAGCATTAGGACTTAGTCCACCACCAAAATCAGTGCTGGTGCCTAGACCACTGCCAAAGCCAGTGCTGGTACCCAGGCCACCATTGAAGTTAGCACTGGGGCCTAAGCTTCCACCAAAGCCAGTGTTGGTACCTAGGCTGCTTCCAAAGCCAGCACTGGTGCCCAACCCATTTCCAAAGCCAGCACTGGTACTTAGCCCATTCCCAAAACTGAAAATGGCACTGGTGCTGTGCCCCTCACTGTAATTGGCACTGGTAGCACCACTAAAGCAGGAGTTGGTGCTGGAAGAGCCTCCAAAGCATAGGTTAGTGTTAGATGCACTGCCAAAACAGAGACTGGTGCTGGGTGCTCCACCAAAACAGAGGTTAGTGCTTTGAGAACTACCAAAGGTGACGCTGGTAGTGGGAGCACTGCCAAAGCTAATGCTGTTGCTATGGGTACTACCAAAGTCAGTGGTACTAAGTGTCCCACCAAAGCCAACACTGGTACTGAATGCACCACCAAAGTCAGGGCTGGTGCTTATTGTACCGCCAAAGCTGGCACTGGTGCTGATAGCGCCACCAAAGCCAGCGCTGTTACTGAGCACACCACCAAAGCTGGCACTGGTACTAATGGCACCACCAAAGCCAGCGCTGTTACTGAGCGCACCACCAAAGCTGGCACTGGTACTGATGGCACCGCCAAAGCCAGCACTGTTGTTGAGAGCACCAGCAAAGCTGGCACTGGTGCTGATGGCACCCCCGAAGCCAGCGCTGTTATTGAGCGCACCAGCAAAGCTGGCACTGGTGCTGATGGC